TAATTATTTAATTTTTTTTAACAATTTATAATTATTTACAGGGTTAATTTGAGAAAAGAGAAAAAGATTCCGTGAAACTTGAACGTGCAACCAAAGAGATAAACAGCCATTACTCAAGATCTAATATCACTGGGTCGGATCCAATATCACTGGGTCGGATCAGGCCCGTTCAATTATTTAATTTAAATAACACAAAAATTTTATATAAAAATAATAAATAAATAAATTATAGTAGTATAATTATATACTAATTTTTATTTTTAATAACAAAAATTATAGTTAAACTTATTAGGGGTCAAGTGCAGATAACATTCCCTAATAAGAATGCAAATAGTCATTATGTGTTATCTTATCATGATTTTAATACAAGTAACAATAATTTGAGTTTTTTTTTTTTAATTCGTAATATATATTAAAACTATAGTTTCAATTAAATTTATTTTTATTGAATAATTTTAATGTTTAAAATACATTCTTAATATATAATATTTTTGATTAATCTAATTTTTGATTAATCTAACCTGAAAATTTTGTTTTTTTTTTTTTAATAATGACTTGCTGTTCTTTTCTTTTCTTTTCCTTTTTTCTTCAAAGTTCCAGCGTACGGTATGCACTAGAGAAGTCGTATTGATCCGTCGGGAAAACTGCGCGACAGAAAGTTGTGTTGACAGGGGTACCATACACTGTGGATTAACGATTAAAGAAATCTGGCCGTCGAAAAGGAGTTGGGCGTATGTGGGTGTTGAGCATTAAGGTGGGTGTGTCCATTTATGGCAAAAAAAACAGGAAAGGGCATTCAAAATGTTTCTGTAGGCGAAGTACGGCTTGTGAGCAAACAAAATTTACCTTGGACGGCGTGCGACATTATTCTTATTTTTTAATTACTGTTGAGGGCAATTTTTTGGGTCTGACCCGGTGGCTAGCCTATTTTGACCACTGGGTGAATCGGTTCATTTGATCGGTTTAATTGATCAATTAAAAAAATTTTTTTTTGATAATTTTATTGAATTTTACTTCTTCTGTTGATGTTTTTGGTCGGTGGAGCAAGAGAAGAAGGTAACAATAGAGGAGGTGAGGAGTACAAGGTAGTTGCTGTTTAGTGAAGGACGAGGAAGATTTTGATTTCTTTTGCTGCTTCTGTTCGGTGGAGCAAGAGAAGAATGGTAGCGACAGAGGAGATGAGGAAGAGAAGGAGGGCAACGATGGAGGAGATGATCTGCTCAGGGGAAGAGATGAGGTAGACGAAGACGATCTGTTTTGTTTTGAACAGAATAGATGAGGTAGATGAGGTAGATGAAGACGATTGGCAGAATATGTAATAATTACTCTTTTCATTATTTATTGTCTTTTAAAAAAGTTTTCATAAGGATTTCATAGCATAATATGTAATAATGTATATAAAAAGGAAGAGGGGCGCCATCTGCCGAGTGCATATAAGCACTCGCGAAATTGTTGGTTCTTTTCTTCTTCTTCTTCGTTTTTGTTTAAATTTTCTTAAAAGAAAATGTACTCAACATTTTTATTTATAGAGTGTTGCTAATATTTCTTGTAAAAAGAATTTATCAAATAATATTAAAGTATTATGAAGAATTACAAAACCATCAAGAAATTTATTATCTAATTATTATATTTCTTGACAATTAAAATTAATTGTCTTGAAAATATAAAATTAATCTTGATTTTAATAATATGTCATGTGTTATTTATTATTGTTGATACTTTACAAAATTAAAATTACTTATCGTATTTTTAAGATAATTAATTATTAAAAATATAATAAATATACAATAAATATTTCTTTAACAAAAAACCCCTTAATTTTATGTTCTAATATATTTTTCTTAGTTTTTCTATTATTCCCCCCTTTTTTTTTCACTTTTGTGTTGATTGTAAATTGGTTTGTTTGTTGTTGACTATATTTTTTTTCTATATTTTAGGAAATGTATGCATTATAGATTTTCAATTGCGATGATCCACCTATGCGCCACCATCGGACAAGACACCTCCATAAAAAGCCATTTTAATATGAATATATTTAATAGTAATATATAGGAGTTGATTCGAGGGCGTGTTAAATTTATATAGTTTTGAAATTTTCGTGGAACAAACCTAAAGAGTTACGTTTTTTTCCATTTGGAGTGTAATTTTAATGTGCAATTTTAATATTAAAATTATTAAGTGATTACTAATAAATTAATATAAATATAAACAAAAGTATCCAACTGCCCCTTACGTGGTCAAACTTAAAAAACACTCTATTAAATAAGTAAATAAATATAAAATTAAAAGATAAGAGCGTGCATGGGTGTGACTAGATACTAGCTAGGGGAAAAGTATAGGACAACGAAAAACTTTGTTTTGTATTGCATCGAATTGATATGAGTCGCAGACTCAATCCACAGTCTCCCTATCTGTCTTTCACGCTGATAATTGAGACAATGATGGACCTCTGACACTCTTCCATATGGACGGTATATGGTACCAATCGATTGACACCTCTGAACCTGACCTTTATGATCGATGCAGCAGTGAGGAGTGAAGACATAGAGTGAGCCACAACCCACAGCGGCATCCCTTCCCCCACCCCCCCTCCATCCCCGTACTGTACATACTCTCTTGACAGACGCTGCATACGCCATATGCCGCCGTAAGAACGAGAGAGAGAGGTGGAAAAAGTCCAAAAGAGCAGCAGAGTTGGCATTAAATTCGAAAATCCCCACCACACGGCTTTTTCCAAGCACGCCTTACGGTGTTTGTTTCTGCACTTACGTCACTCCTTTCTTCGCCACTGACATTTTGCAGATTTTGCATGGTTAATGATCTTCTTTGATAGATTCATCTCATGCCATCCCTGCTCTCAATGATGTCATCCCCATCCCTATTCTACCTGCTCATTACTATTTTATTAATTCCCATTACACCAATTTTCCATTAGTGGTACTGATAATTTTATTTTAATAAAATAAAAAAATAATAATTTTATAATATAAATTATATCAAATTATAATATAAAATTTTCAAATAAAATACTTACATACATAATTTTTTTTTAAAACAGAGCAATTGAAGAGAATAAAAAATGAAATTAATGAAATTTAAAATCACAATTTACAAAAAATAATTTTTATTAAATTAAAAAATTTAACTGTTAAGTTAAAGCGTGAGAATATATACACATTAAGTCTGTTAAAGTTAATCCACCGTCGAGGTTTCCCTATTACTTGACCTTGAACCGATAAGGACAAGACAAAATTATTATACCAATTACCAAGCCTGATGACTAGTAGTACTTCTCAGTTTTTTCTATAGATTTTCTCTTTTTTTTTTTTTTTAAACAGAGGGGAAATTGTAAGGAAAGAAAAGTAAGATCTGATATTTGAATTTATGTCATTACATCCATCGTATCTATTTAAAGGGGTGATCATAAAGCCAGCAAAAGTTGGATTCCTATAGATTTAGATTGTTGTTCCAGACGTCATTATGGTGACTATTACTTTTGTTAAAATTATTAATTTAATTTTATAAAATTGTAATTTTTTAAATAGATATAATATTTTAAAATATATATTTGTAAATTAATTTTAATCTATTAAATAATAAATATTATTATAATTATTTTTAATAGTGTAATTAACATAAAAATTTAATAGTTTTTATGACCCTAACAAAATTTATAGTGATTGTTGTCTCCAAAATTTTTCTTTCCAGCTGCATAGCAAATAAAACTGTAAATATGCCTCACTCATTTTACTTAAAGTGAAAAAAAAAAAAAATTTCTGACGATTTTCAATGCTCCTAAGCATGGAACATTGCTGCAAGTTAATCAAAAATATTAATTAAATAAATTATGAGATGTGCCTTAATTAAATAATTATTGTAAAAATAGAGGTATATTTTTACATAAAAATTCATAAATGATTGCATTAAAATAATATCAAGGACTTCTTACAATTAAAATTAAAATGTTAAAAAAAAAAAAAAAAGAGAGCACATGACAAAAAAGCTAAATTGCAAAGGTAACCTAATGCCACTACGAAAGCCATAGTACGAAAGAATAAAATAAAAATTAAAACATAAAACTAAACTTAAAGGAAGTTAGAAAGATGAATTTAGAGCAAAATATAGTAAA